ATTTGCATCAACGAACGGAGGTTCATCATTACTAGCACCATCATAGACATTACCTGTGACACGCCCACGCAACTGCAATCTTTCTCCTTAAACGGAGCCACAGTGGAGTCTCTCTGTGAGGTGTACATCAGTGGAGGTGAGGTGTACATCGGTGGAGGTGAGGTGTACATCAGTGGAGGTGAGGTGTACATCAGTGGAGGTGAGGTGTACATCAGTGGAGGTGAGGTGTACATCAGTGGAGGTGAGGTGTACATCAGTGGAGGTGAGGTGTAAATCAGTGGAGGTGAGGTGTAAATCAGTGCAGGTGAGGTGTACATTAGTGCAGGTGAGGTGTACATTAGTGCAGGTGAGGTGTACATCAGTGGAGGTGAGGTGTACATCAGTGGAGGTGAGGTGTAAATCAGTGGAGGTGAGGTGTAAATCAGTGGAGGTAAGGTGTACATCAATGGAGGTGAGGTGTACATCAGTGCAGGTGAGGTGTACATCAGTGGAGGTAAGGTGTACATCAGTGGAGGTGAGGGGTGATCAGTGCAGGTGAGGGGGTGATCTGTGCAGGTGAGGGGCTAATTAGTGCAGGTGAGGGGGTGATCTGTGCAGGTGAGGGGCTAATTAGTGCAGGTGAGGGGGTGATCTGTGCAGGTGAGGGGCTAATTAGTGCAGGTGAGGGGCTAATTAGTGCAGGTGAGCGGGTAATTAGTGCAGGTGAGCGGGTAATTAGTTCAGGTGAGCGGGTAATTAGTGCAGGTGAGGGGGTGAACAGTGCAGGTGGGGGTGAACAGTGCAGGTGAGGGTGAACAGTGCAGGTGAGGGAGGATCAGTGCAGGTGAGGGGGTGAACAGTGCAGGTGAGGGGGTGAACAGTGCAGGTGAGGGGGGGTGAACAGGGGCAGGTGAGGGGGATCAGGGGGTGATTTGTGCAGGTGAGGGGGTAAACAGTGCAGGTGTGCAGGTGAGGGGGGTAATTAGTGAACAGTGGGGATCAGTGGTGAGGGGGGGGGATGAACAGTGCAGGTGAGGGTGAACAGTGCAGGTGAGGGTGAACAGTGCAGGTGAGGGGGTGAACAGTGCAGGTGAGGGGGTGATCAGTGCAGGTGAGGGGGTGATCAGTGCAGGTGAGGGTGATCAGTGCAGGTGAGGGTGAACAGTGCAGGTGAGGGGGTGGGAATATTGGGGGGGGGGGGTGAACATTGGGGTGAGGTGCATAGAGGGGGTCAATATCGAACTGTACTGCGTGTTTGTGTGCCGCTGTGTTGTCTGTACCTTGGGGACCTGTGTAACGTACCCTTCAATATAGACTCGTGCCGCCATACCTTGTTTTCCTTGGACGCCCTCTCGCCTTCTCACTGATGTAGTTTGTGTGCCGCACCTGTAGAAATAGGCTGTACCCCCTTACCGCTTAGAACGCTTCTTTCTGCAGCAATGGGACCCTTGTGTGGCACCTGTTATTTTGTGTGCCGGGATTGGTGTTGACCTGTAGAATGAGACTGTCCCGGGATGCTATACCCTTACCGCTTAGAACACTTTTTTTCTGCAGCAATTGGATTTCTAATGTTGTGGTTGATTCCCTAGGATGCTATAGTTTTCCAATTTGGGCCATAGACTTTACGAGGCCCTAATCTATCTAAGCCCTGAGGCCCCTACCGTTTTAAATTACAGCAGTCAGCCTCAGAAATCTTTAAAATAAATGCCCCTTTTGAATATATGGGTAATTGAAAAAATTAATTTATTCTTTGTCCTGTAATGCCATTTTGTGTTAGATATGGCTCGCAGCCCTAGGTAGAGCTAAAGGTCACAGGCTGAAAACAGGAAGTTCTTGAATGGCGCAAGCTGAAGACACAATCAGACTTGTGTGCAGGCTTGATATAATTTTGGGCCATGAGTGGAAAGGGTCAGAATTTCCGAGCAAGTTTCAGACTTGTCTAGGGTTCTTATTACTTTGGGTCGTGTGCAGGGACTTGCCAGCTAGCGCTGCAGAATCAGAAGTGCAACAAAGCCTGGCATATGATGTTGCAGCGTCTAGTTTGAGGATGGATGTGAAGGCAGTAACTGCTGCCTTCCACTGGCTTGAGGAATCAGCTGTACACACATGCCGTGATTGTAATCGACTCACAGAGCGTGTTGAGAAAGGTGGAGACAGGCATGGTACGTGCAGAGTGGCAAGCATCACTTCATAGTTCCCAGGTAGTTAGCGTCCTTTAGATATTTTCTCCAGGTGATGCCGGTATGTTGGGAAATTAGCAGGCGGATAGACTGGCCGGTTTTGCACCACCTGTATGACGAGATAGACGTTTTTAGGGCCCTTTGGGAGCCAGTGAACAGGACGGAGGCACAAATAGATCATTACGGTCTGAGGAGAATGGCGCTGCGAGCAGCTACCTGGCGATCTGGCTGACGCTCAACACTTGAGGAAAAGGCGAGATGCAGTTACTTTTGCCACTGAAATTTATAACTCTTCGCTTGCTCCTGAAGTTGGGGATGGAGAGCTTATGGGAGTGTCCCGA